GACATAGGTGGGAGTAGCTGGTCCTTGTAGAGAAGATGCCTAACGCTGAACTTCGGAGAACGAGAATATATGAATGGTTAGGGAACACTGCCTGGCTGGGACCACTTGACATATGCAAGAGGATCAGAGGAAAAAGCACCCTTCACCTCCTGTAGCACATGATATGTGCACTTCAGGGTCTATCAGCTATCAGCTATACTCCAGGTCTCTGGCAATACCACCAGAACCAGCCTACCAGGGACAGGGCTCATTCACCTCAATGGATGGTAGAATAGCTGCATCTTTGGGACCACTGGGTTCTCTGCTTAAACAGCTGTTAGAAGTTAGAGGGTTTTGAGAGGTAGAAACCTGTCCAAAAGAGCTATAAAGTTTTACAGGAGTGAAGGATCTGGCTCTTTGTTTGGCACCCCAATCCTGCAGTAGGAGAATGGTCATCTTCGTAAAGTTATTTGCATGTCTAACTACAGGCAGTCCTTGGACTTACAACACAATTGGTTCTTGAAAACTGCGTCTTAAGTCTAAACGTTGGAACTCAGAACCAATTTTCTCATAAGAAACAATGTTATAAAGGGAGGATTAGTTCCTGAACCAAGGCCTGATACCCTATTCTCACCAAAAATACCCCAATGTGTTTATTATGTAAATATAAATTATATTGATTTGGAAGGACTTCTTTGAGGCGACTTTGCTGGACTTTTTGAAAGGCTCTTGGCTGGACTTTTTGAAGGGTTCTTGGCTGGAGTCTTCTCAGGAGTCTTGGCTGCAGGTTTTTCTGGAGTCTTGGCTGCTTTCTTAAAGAAAGTGTCCAAGGAAGTTTGGACAGATGTTCTCCAGGGAGATGAGCAACACAGCAAACTTGTTCACTGGCGTGGTGTCGCATTGGATCAAGCCTTATAAAGTCAAAACTGACGTCAGAAATTTGAAACAGGGTGTCAATTTATAAACATTGTAAGTGCGAAATGTTGTCAAGGACTACCTGTATTTGCGAGATTGTGACCCCAATTATTTCTTATATTGGAATATTTTTAATTGTTATTTCTTTCTATTTTCCATTTGATTTAAAGCATTATTGCTATATCTTAACATGGCTATACCCAACTATATTTTGGGGTGTGTTGCAGGTGATTTGTGTGGGTCAGATTATCTGTGCTGTGGTTGCAGATACAGATGTTCATGCAAAGAGGGCAGCTGTAAAAGTGAAAATAACTTATGAAGCTCTGGAGCCTGTGATCTTGACTATTGAGGTAATATTTTCCCTGGTACTCAGTTAGCCAGAAAACAAACAGTATAACATCCCCCCTCCCACATTCATCTGTTATGATTTAGTGGAAAGTTTTGAATATCTGTTCTCTCAGTCTGGGAATTCCTTAGTTTTCATATTTTTAAACTATCTGGTATCTCTCCTTAACTGGTCTAAGCAGAAAAGCATGTATTGGGCTAGTGGTCACAGTGATCATAATAAGCACTACTGAAAGGATATGTGAAGCATTGGAAACTTAATTTGTTCTTTACATTTTCTCCTTCACACTGCAGGAGGCAATAAAGAATAATTCATTCTATGATCCAGAAAGAAAACTAGAACAAGGAAATGTTGATGAAGCCTTTGAAACTGTTGATCAGATTTTGGAAGGTAAACTGATGCCCACGGCACAGAAGCTGCTTGTTATGCCTCTGTCTTTAATGACCAATGAACTAGTGCTGTGAAGTACAAAACTCCAGAACACACTGGAATGCTTTAGAAGCTCAGAATCTGTTTAATGCTCTGGTTTCTGTATCACCAACACTTCTTTCTTTCTCCTGTCAAAACATTTTTACCAGTGAAGACCCCACAGTGCTATCTTCCTGAAATTTATACTTTTTACATAATTTCTAAAGAGTATTTTATTTTATTTATTGCTTACTTGCAGTGTTATCTTATATTTATCCTCCTTAAGAATTGCGTGGCTTTGCTAATTTGTTGAAAGGTGGCCCAATGAAAGATCCACATTAAACAAGTTTTTACTTGCATTGAAATCTAAGCTTTAAAGATCTGTGTATCTTTTTAAAGCAAGTTATATATTAATGCTCAACATATTATTAATACTTAATAAATGATGATAAAAATCATAAGGAAATTTAGTACCTGTTTAAAAGTAATCCATAATACCACAGTCCTACCTTTCTCACTGTGAAACTTCATTTCTTTGTATTATTATTCTACAGTTGGTTTTTATTTATGCTTCATTTTATTATCCATTTCTTAGTATCTTTAAGATAAATAGCTACCTAGGTATTTCATATAAGCAGCTCTTCCCTTAATTAACTCATCCTCTTCGAGACAAAATAGATATAATTTGTCTGTGTCACGGCGCGGGGTCCTGTGGGATGGCCGTGATCTCCCCAAGGCCCCCTTCCCGTGCCAAGTTGGCCCAAAGGGCACCCTCACTTCTCGCCCGCCACATCTTTGATGGAGATTAAATATATGGGAGGCTGCCTTATGTCCTCTTGGACACGGGTTGCTGTAATATCTGACCCCATGGACTCCCGGACCCCTTGTGGGTCCTGTTCTGTAGATGGGTGCTTCGGGGTACCCTAGCCTTATGGGCCATGTGTGGCTCCAACCACCCCTTTACCACACCCCAAGCCTCGCAGATGGAATTGATGTTGTTCGGTCACGGCCTTGTTATAATGTGGCCCTCTTGTCTTCTCTGCCCCCTCTCCCGGGGCTTCTCAAAGTGCTGCGCCCTTGCTGGCGCTGGGGCCTCCACACTGCTGTGGGTCCCCTATGAGGCCTCCTCCAACCCCTAATAGCCTCACCCAAACCACCGGTCTTTAAGCAGCAACAAAACACAAGCCCCTGGGCTGTAACATAAATTAAAGCTGCCCAGCTAAAACATCATTCAAGCCTACCAGGGAATACTTCATCCTGCAGCACTGTCAGATGCTGCTCCTGCAGTCAGGCTTCTGCACTCTTCCCTGAAAGAACTCCTTCCCCCTTTAGCTGCTGGCAAGGAGCTACCTTCCTGACCTCAGCCCCTAGGGTTTATAAGGGAGCCAGGCCCTGCCCCTTTCAGTCAGCTGACTGCTGGCAGGTGTGGTTGCTTGCTAGCTCCAGTTGCCCCTGGTAACCAACAGCTGGGCTCTTTACTCATTGCTAGGGCTCTTTTCCTAGCAGTTTCCCCTCTTTAGGAACAGGGCACCTCAGTGCTCTGCTACAGTCTGTATTGTGTAATAGTGCTGGTTGAACTATCATCTTCCAAATATTTGAGCACTGATTTTTTGGGTTTAAAATAAAAAGAAATAATAGTAACAACAACTAAAATGTGCAGACATCTATTTCTTACTCTTTTTAAACTATAACAGAAATCTAAGACAATATATTACAATATGAACAAATTAAATTAAATATATATTTTTGTATTATATGTTGTCGTTTTCTTATTCTCTCCACAATATATATTTTTTTCTTTGTTTATATTTTGAACAGGGGAGATTCACATTGGGGGACAGGAACATTTCTACATGGAAACTCAGAGTGTTCTTGTTGTTCCAAAAGGAGAGGATAAAGAAATGGATGTGTATGTGTCTTCACAGCATCCAACATTTACTCAGGTAATATAGTGCTAGAACCATGTGGGCCAAAATTAAGATATAGGAAAAGCCCTAAAAGAGTCTTTTTATTATGTTTTCCAATGGGCAAGATGGTGATTCTCTTTTAGTGGCTAATTGGGAAGACACTCTTGTGATGTAATAAAATGACTATCTGTACAGTCATTAGGGCTGTGTGAAGCTTTGGTTCCTGATTCAGTTCAGCGGAGATTTGGTCTGATTCAGTAGCCGAATCTCCAAATCCGAATTGAATCAGGAGACCCTTTAATCTCTCCGAATCCTTCCAATTTGATTCGGAGAGATTTAGAAAGATTCAACGGTTCAGACATAGACACAGCTTAAATGTTTTTTCTACGTACCTTGAGGTACCAGGCAGTTCATGAATGCTGCAGTGCTGGGGTGGATGAAGCGTCCCACAGGAGCGTGGGCGGGGCTCCTTAGCGCACTTGGCAGCAGACCCAGAAGTGGACCAGAAGCACCCCGGGAGCCCCCCCCCGGCTCAGCAACTGGTGCCTCCTGGGTCTGGGGGGGCATCCAGGGTTTTGCAATTCTAATGCCAGAGACAGATATATAATTACGCTGCTTCAAAAGTGGGGGGGCACTTGCTGCTCAGGAGTTTGCAGCAGCTGAACTGATATACGTTTTGTTTGCCTGCTCCTGTACTGGTATAACATCTTTTTTTCTGGAGAATTATATTGATATAAAATTATGAACTGATTTTGCAGGAACTAGTGGCTTCAGTTTTAAATGTCCCCTCCAGTAGGATAATGTGCCATGTAAAACGAGTTGGTGGTGGTTTTGGAGGAAAGGTGACCAAACCTGCTATACTGGCAGCTGTCACAGCAGTGGCAGCAAACAAGTAAGTGTGGAATTAAAAAACCAAAATTGTAATTTGAGGAATAAATGGTTAATACCCTGTTATTTACATTGACACAAGAAACAAAAACTTGTTGATTAGTTCAAGCCATTCGTTGTACCCGTTACATCTTCTAATCTGGGAAAACAAAAAAGGTTAGCAAAATTCTTGTTTTTTTGCTACAGTAGGTTAACTTTTTCCAGTGATCAATATCTGTGAGATAAATAGATACAATGCCTTAACTTCTGAATTGTACTAATTTATTTTCTGCATGTGAATGTAAAATGACTGCTGGATTAAACCTCCACTTTACCCACAGAAGTGATGCCTTTGAATTAAATGGAGCTACTCAGATGAATATATGCTTGCAGGATTCATTCCCTATATGATAGCTAATGGGGTTTTTAATATTTATTGTAGCTGAACCAAGTATCAAGAACAGTAGTTAATAGTGTTTATATCAGTGACTGATTCCACCCCAATTAGCAGTGCACATTTTGTTTAATATAGAACTGGCCGTGTTGTTCGATGCATTCTGGACCGTGGAGATGATATGTTAATAACTGGAGGCAGACATCCTTTCCTTGGAAAATATCGAGTGAGTGGAAGGACTACATACAAAAAATATATATTCCATTTCATGACCCTTTTTCTTGCATAAAAAAAGACTTTCAACTGTACCCTTATCCTGAAAACATTCTTTCTGACTTAAGTGACTAACAGATTTACTTTATTTAACATGTATATAAAAACAGTTAATTTTGATAAGTACTTGGGAGGTGGAAAAAGCCTGACAATGTTGTAATCTGTTTCAGGTAGGGTTCATGAATGATGGCAGAATAATGGCTCTGGATGTAAGATATTATAGTAATGGAGGATGTACACCAGATGAATCCATTGTGGTAAGTAAGTGTTTTGTAAACTGATTATTATTAAGAGAAGCAATTTGAAAGTTGAGTGAGTCAAATCCAATCCTAATATACAAAGTATTTACTTTAATCTTTTCAGGGAAAAGCAAGAGTGTTTGGGGTTCTGCTCCCCTCTCCCCATTTAATTTACTGCCCAACTCCATTAAATATTGTGAGGGATCAAAGGGCAGTTAGACACGCCATTGTCACTGGAAGTTAATGAGGTTTGAGTGATTGACTCCTATTTGTACCACTGAAAATCTTACCTACCCTGTTTTCTAAGGGCATGGCTTCATGAGCAAGGTATCATGGGATAAGCCAACATTTTCAGCATATCAGCTACTCTATGATATCCATCTACGCCAGGGGCAGGCAATTATTTTGGGTGGAGGGCCGCTTACCGAGTTTTAGCAAGCCATTGAGGGCCGCATGACAGGCAACCCAGGGCGATAATATTAATTTTCTAAATTTTTTATGGGCCCCGCGGGCCAGATAGAATGGCCTGGCAGGCTGCATCTAGCCCACGAGCCACATTTTGCCCATCCCTGATCTATGTGCATGTTTTTACCCTTCAGTAACTGCAAGGCAGTTCACCCTGCTTTTATTGAGAGCTGAGCAGCCTCACATTTACCATGGGGTAAGAGCAGGTACACTGGTAGTTATTTGGGGAAGTTTACTAGCTTACCTTGTGATACATTGCTCATGTAACTATATACAGAAGATACTATTAACTATTAAGATTTTCAAGAGACTATTGCTGATACCTCGTGAAGATTCTCATTTCATTTTTTCTACTGAAAAGACTATTCTGTCAGGGAAGGAGGACTCTGTAAATCAAACTTGGAAGTTTCCATTCATAAAGAACACATATTCCTTGTGTTCTCGGTGAACGGGGCTGGTTTCCAAGTGCAATTTTTAACAGATTCATGTCTTGTAAAGCCTTAAGTGGCTTGTGACCAAGCTGTCTTGTGAGGATGATAAAGAAAAGTCAGTTATGTAAGGTGGACATGCTGGCAGGCTCTAGATATGCATGCTTGGGGAGGATGAACTCATGCATGTTGCCTACCAGAGCACAACTATCCTGAACTTCCAGGCCCAAAAAAAGATTCCTCATTTTGATCAAGCTTTTGCCTAATGGAGGCCTTAAACTATATGTAATGTACACATGCAAATAAAGTTAGTAACTAATTCAGCTATTACTCCACTGAAGATAATGGAGACTGCATTGCTAAGAATGGATAATGCGTACATGATTCCCAACTTGCGATGCTGGGGCAAAGTCTGCAAAACTAATTTGCCATCAAATACAGCTTTCCGAGGATTTGGTTTCCCCCAGTCAGCCCTAGTTACAGAATCCTGGATAACAGATGTAGCAATCAAAACTGGTTTGTCACCTGAGAAGGTAAGAATTAGCAAGTACAATTTCACAATATTTATTTTTTGTAGTTTTACCTTAAAACTATTTTTTTTTTAATTTTTAGATAAGCCTTCCAGCTACAATGCAACCTATTTCTTTCTTTCTTTGTGCTGTTTTTACCTCCTCAGATTAGGGAGATAAACATGTACAAAAAGGGTAATCAAACACATTACAAGCAAGACCTGGACCCAAATAACCTGGTAAAATGTTGGAATGAATGTATGGAGAAGTCATCTTATTACATCAGGAAAACAGCTGTGGATAAATTTAACAAGCAAAATTACTGGAAAAAGAAAGGGATTGCCATTATTCCACTGAAATATTCAATTGGATTTGAAGCAATGTTTCTCAATCAGGTCAGTTTTGAAAATATTTGGATTACTTTTCTCTAAGGAAATTTAAAAGCTTTACAGGTACTAATTAAAACTCATAACACATTTGTGAAGTAGACAAATAGCATTATCTCAGTTTAACAGATAAACAGAGGTTATCAGCAAAGGGTCTTGGTGAATGATTCTTCCACATCAAAGGTCGGCAACCTTTTGCTGCTGTGGGCTTGGAGCCTTTTGCCTTGGACTGCAAATCTCTGCCTTCTGGAGCACCCATGCTGCCTGCGTTTACCCTTGCTGCTGATCCCTGGCCCCTCTACCATGAGGGTAAACTTAGACATGAGACAGCAGCAGTGAGGGCTGTGGAGCAGGGAGGCTGTAGATGAGATGGGTGGCATGGCACAGCTGCTGCAGCCTGATCCCCTGTGCTGTCCTGGACTGGACCAGAACTTTACATGCTAGTTCCAATCTCTTTGCAAGCCAAACTTGGTATGTGGGCTATAGGTTGGCTGACCCCTGCTTTAATCCATGCAACCTGTGGTCTGAATACATTTTATCTGAACAGCAAAATCTATGCTGGGATGCACTTGTGACTGTGCCTTTAAAGTTTTCATTATTAATAATAATAATAATATACATTCATAGAATGCTGTGGCCATTTAATATTCTGACCACCAGCTGCTTCTGGGCTGTACATCATTCTATGCAATGTGATCACTTCATTTGATCATGTTTTGCTTTTATTTTGCAATGGTATAATTTAACCAGCCTCTGCATTTTATTTATTCCTAGGCTGCAGCTTTAGTTCATATCTATATGGATGGGTCTGTGCTGGTAACTCATGGAGGAGTTGAGTTGGGCCAAGGTATTCACACCAAAATTATGCAGGTAATAAATAGACATATGTATATACATAGACATATGTATATACACAGCAATATCACAATATATTATTAAATGGATCTAATAAATATATTAGAATAACCAAATGAAGCAGATTCCTTATTTTAATGTTTCTGTCTGGTTGGTGGCATTATCATGTATGATAATCAGTTTAATTACATACTGGCAGTTCTTAGTAAATACAAATAATAATATCTCTTTTTTTTAATTACTATTATGTACTGCATTGATCTGTTAGTTCCCCTGACAATCCTTGTGGTTTTAGAATCATATTGGACTATTTTTATAATTTTTTTTTTCTTTCCCCAGTAAGAAAGACACACACAAGTAGGGGAAATTGACAATTATTAGTGTAATTTTCATTACTAGAATTTTATTTGCTTTTATTAATGAAGATAATATTTAATAATTTTAAATACCTTGGCAAAGCTGAAACACGATTTTATAATTTCAAAGTAAAGAAAACGGGTAACCTGCGTGTTTGATAACCGATTAAAAATAAATTTCCCATTTTCCCCACAATAGGTTGCCAGCCGTGAATTAAAGATACCAACCTCTTTTATCCATATCTGTGAAACAAGTACAGTTACTGTGCCTAATACACGACCTACAGCAGCATCTATTGGTACTGATATAAATGGGATGGCAGTGAAGGTTATATTTATTTTCATTCACTTCCTGTTTCTTCCATGTAGATCTCCTCACATGCATCTGTTTAGATCAGTGCTTCCCAAACTTTTCCTCAGCATGGCCCATTTATGGCCCCATTTCCTCAGCATTACCCCTCACTCCCAATCCACAGCCCCTCACTCTCATGACCCCATCTGCTAATGTTGTGACCCCATTTGGGATCATGACCCACAGTTTAGGAACCGCTGGTTTAGATATACTGTTGTTGTTTGTTTCATACTAGCAGTATAGTAGCATCTAAAATTTGATAAGCATTATGTAGACACACAGGAAGAGTTTCCTATGTTGATCAGATTAGAAAATTCTGCAAAGATAAATGGTTGTGGAAAATGTATAGCTACATTAAAAAAAACCCCAATTCTTCCCTGGGATGCATACAGACAAATTCAGTATTTTTTGGTAGAAGCTGAATGCTTATTGTCTATTTAAAGAAGTTTCTAGATGTTCTGATGCTCCCATCTCTTGCTGGTGTGATCCTCTACAAGAACTCAGCAGTTCTAGATTTTATTGATAAATAATTATATCTAAGCTAGCATGCTTTTGGATAATAGAGACCAGGCCAAATACCTACTGATATAAGCAAGAGCCTTTCAACTCACTTCACTAAGCATTGAACTGAGCCCTTACTACCCTCGTTCTGCTGGTCTGCATGTATAGTTTGCAATTTCATAATTAAATCTGAAGTTAATGTTTTGGGTTTCAAGAGGATATTTGTTAACTTAGGACTTTCAAATTGGATTTTTAGAATACTATAAAATATTTTTACATTTCAGACTTATCTTTATTTGCACTTATAATTGTTCCCATCTTTTATTATAACTAGAATGCTTGTCAAACTCTTCTGAAACGCCTTCAGCCGATCATGGATAAAAATCCTGAAGGAACATGGAAAGATTGGGTAAGAATCTATTTTATATTCTTTGTGAAAATATTTAACTAATAGTCAGGAAATGTACTTAAGCAACCTTATTAACAATAAAAAGCAAGGAAGATGGAGAAGATACATCATCGTATCAGGCACCTAATCACTTGAACATAATACTTACGTGCAGTCTTAGGCCTCAGAGGCTAGAAACAGACATTGTCAGCTGTGCTGGAATGTGTGGAATCAGCACAGCTGATCTGCTTCATTGGATGAAACACACGTTGCTTGTTGATGCTGTGGGACAACAGGTGATGTGTTCCCTAGGCTTGAAGAGTCCAGTGCTGCACCCGACTGGAATTTTCATGTATGATCAGACCATTTAAATTAACAGCAAAATTAACAGAGATTGTATTTAAAGCTGTCTTCCTACAGACCCGGTGTTGAGATTGTTAAGAGCATGCCTGCATTTAGACTTCGCTTCTGTGGACATGCATGCATCTATATATGTTGTGTTGAGTCACTTAGAGCTTTAGGAGATACAGGGCAGTATGACAGGGCAGAAGGGAGCTAGTATTGAAAGTATTTTAAAGCCTTTCCTTTTCCCCATCCCATTATCTGTTCACTGTGCCTGCCTAGCTGCCTAGCTTTTGTATGCATTCCTAATCACCTGTGGTTTAGCCTTGAGCCCTACTGAGGGGGGGTCAAGGCAGACTCAGAGAACTGGTATCCCAGAAGCTGCCTGGGGAGGCCCTGAGGGCCCAGGAGCTCAGGGAAGAGCTGCCTGGTGAGACCCCACGGTTCCAGAAGCTCAAGAGGGGATCAAGGTCCAGGAGGGACTGCAGTCTGGGACTGCCAGAGCCAGTGAGTCTGGTGATCTTGACTGGTCCAAGAGTGGGGACAGGGCCCAGGAGGGGCCACAGGTCCTGAGGGCCACTGCTGGAAGCTGCAGTTAAGTAGGCTAGAGCCTAGAAGCCAAGTCCAGTATCGTGGGCCTGTGCTCAAAGGGCCCAGTGGAAGCAAGAGGGGAGGCACTGATAAGGCTAAGCCCCCTACAATAGAGTGTGATGATACAGTAATACCTGCGAGGCTTGGGGCATGGTGTAGGGATGGAACGGAGTCAGACAATTAGCCCTTAAGGCTACAGGTACCTTGAAGAAGCACAGTCAGGCCGAGAGGGCCTATTGAGCCAAACGGCATAGTTGAGACTAGTGGGGTGCAGGGAACCCTGTTAGAGATTTAACAGGACTGGGGCTTACTCTAAGACCCATAGGAAGCCTCCCTTCTTCAATCTTTAACAAGATCAAGGCATGGCAGGAGAGCAATTGAGGGAGGGCAATATTAGAGTCAGAGCCAAACAGGAGCCTCATGGCCACCAGCAGGCATCATGACAGCCCCTGGGGCTTGGACCTGTCACAGACTCATCCCACATGTACTGAGTCAAGGGTAAATAAACTTGCCCAAGATAGAGCTATGCCTCCTCCTTTTAAGGCAGCATAAGACAAGAAAAGGGAACTATGCCTGTGATATGAGAGTGTATATGTTGGATGACATTTAGAGCTGGTGATGATTTACATGGCTGATTAACTCTAGGACCACAAAAACCTAGGTGCTGAGGAAAATTTCAAGAAAGAATTCTTTGTAGGTGTTTCTTGTTCAGAGGTCAGTATGTATTTTACCAAGGAAATATAATGAAAGGTTTAGTCATTCACTGAAGAATTATTGTATTTAATGATTGAATCCCTAAAATATATCTATATATTTTATCTTAATTTTAATGCAGGTCTTATCTCTGTCTTTGCCATGAGTGTGTTTCCAGTGTCTATATTGGAAATTAGTGAAACATGACCGGCACTTGCTGATTAAACTATTATGATTTTTCACCAGGATTTTTCATTTTACCTTCTAATAAAAATTCTATCCTGTAGGTTACAGGAGCTTTTCGTCAAAGCATTAGTCTTTCAGCTACTGGTTTCTTCAGGTAAATTTTCTTTTTTTCCCCTTAAAATGTTAGTGACTGTGGCAAAGTGGGTATCCCTGCTAGCTGCAGCTAGCCCCACACCTGCCTCTGGGCTTGCCACCCACCTGTCTCTCCTGCCACACCTTGTTGGAATAATAATATGCTGTTAAATAAGGTGGGAGGCTGCCCATTACTGCATCCCATATTTGGGGGTGTCTGCGGCTCCGTACCTCCCCTACACCATGGCTCAAGCCTCACAGATGGCATCCAGATGTTCCCATGCCCCCAGTCTACAGCCAGAGCATGCTTAGGCCACGCTCTCAGGACTCAGTCACACACACAGTCATACCACCCACCTCTCACTTGGGCCTCACTCACCCCACCCTCTCTCACAGGGTCTTTTCTTGCGTCAACAACTTATGCTGCCTTGCTCCCTCTTGGAGCGGGCACCCTTTGGCCATAGGCTTAACTAGTCCATTCCTTGACCCTCACCATGGTAGTGGCCAGCCAATTACCTGACCAGGTCTAAGCAAATTCTGGTCCCTTTCGGGGTAACACTCGGGGTCTGTATGTGTACTGGGCCCTCAGCCCTCTATTTCTTCTCCCCCTCTGCTCGGGGCTCCACACCGCCCCCTCTGCTTGGGGTCTTAGGGCTTCCCTCCTTGGGTGGGCTCAGGTAGCTGTGCCTGGCCCCTTCTACCTCCATTGTCACCTGACTCACCCAAAGGTGGGAGCTGGGGTTAAGGCACCCCAAACCACCTTTCACCAGGGTGGTAACTGGCGTGGCATTTCCTGCACCCCTTTTCCAGCATGCAGCTAGGTTAGGTAGAAGCTATGCCCATGTGGCCTGAGGCAACATGCAGGAAGATAGTGTGGCACCAGCTCAGCCCGGCCACATGTCAGGGACTCAGGGCAGGGGAGGGGGAGCAGGGTAAAGGAAGCCATGGGTTATCTGGGCCTGGCCATGTCGGTGCTGTGCCATGTTTCCCCCTTCTCCCTGTATCCTCCTCCCCTGCCCTGAATCCCTGGCACATGGACAGGCTGTGCCGTGCTATGTTCCTGTATGCAGCTTTGGGCCATGTTCATGCAGCTGACACTGCTCCTGCCCAACCCAGTCATGTGCTGGGCACTTGGGGTCAGGCAGGAGCCACACCAAGGTTGGACAGGAGCCACATCATCTGCTCCAACTACATCCATGTGGTACAGCCCAAAGTAGCATGCAAAAACACAGCATGGCACCATGTTAGTGATGCCCATGCCCCTACCAGGACCTGGCCTGGCAGAGCCTGGATAACCTGCGGCTCTTGGCCCTCCTCCTGTACCCCCTCCCCCACCAGTGGGGTGAACCTTACCTGGGTTTCGACTTGCTGGGGGCTGAGCTGTCTGGTCTGTGAAGAGCTGCAAGGTTCAAGCTGAGTGCAGACAGCCTCACCGAGCAGAAGCCTGACCACAAGCTAAGTGCCCCCTGCCTTGGAATGTACACTGGGAGCTGCGTGGTGGGGTAGAGGAGTGGCTACTGCTGCTGCAGCCAGCTATGGCATGGGGAAGGGAGAAGGTGAAAAGCACTAAAAGCCAGGGCAGCCACAGGCTGGATACAGTTCTCCTTCAGGGGAGCAGCCACAGGCTCAATTGAATCATTTGGTGGGCCAGATCCAGCCTGCAGGCCATATTTTTGCCCACTCCCGTCTTAGATGGTCATCAGGGGGGCACGCCACTTCAAAGATAAATAGACAGACCAAATAGAAGACAAATACCGACCAAATACATTCTCTTTGTATTTCTAGAAACTCAGGTTGGTATTTTGTAGACCTGTGTCCCTGGGACAAGGGCTGCACACTGTCCCTCATTCAAGTGGCATCACTTTAAATACCCTGAATACTGAAGATTTTAATTTAGGCTGCTGGAGGCTGGGGGTGGTACTTAACATTTTCTTCCTTCATTCGCAAAATAAAAATACACAAGGATGAAAACTGAAAGTGATGTAATTAACTTCAATAGAAGTCAAATGACCAGTAATTTGAGAGGCCATTATTAGATCTTTGTGCAGTACTCACTCCCACTGAAGTGGATTCACTTCATCCACATGCCTTAAATGTTTGAGTGGAATGTTTATCCAAATGCACAGAAAATTAAGTATTTCAGGAGCATTTGGCTGTAGAAGAGGTGCTTATCACCTAGATTCTATGCCTACATGATATTCAGCACTGGTGAGGCCACATCTGGACTACCGTGTTCAGTTTTGGGCCCCCCACTACAGAAAGGATGTGGACAAATTGGAGGGAGACCAGCGGAGTGCAACAAAAATGGTGAGGAGGCTCAGGGACATGACTTATGAGGAAAGACTGAGGGACCTAGGCTTATTTAGTCTAGAGAAGAGGAGACTGAGAGGGGTCTTAATAGCAGCCTTCAACTACCTGAAGGGGGATTCAAAAGAGGATGGAGCTGGACTGTTCTCAGTGGTGGCAGATGACAGAACAAGGAGCAATAGTCTCAAGTTGCAGCAAGGAAAGTTTAAGTTAGATATTAGGAAGAATTTTCTCTCAACGGGGATAGTAAAACACTGGAACAGGTTACCCAGAGAGGTTGTGGAATCTCCATCCTTGAAGATGGAGATAGACAAACTTTGGCTGGGATGATCTAGTTGGGGACGGTCCTGCTTTGAGCAGGAGGTTGGACTAGATAAACTTTTGAGGTCCCTTCCAACCCTAATTTTCTATGATTTCTATGATCTACCTGTATCTAATGTATTAATGGAAATAAATTTTGGAATAACTAATTTTTTGTAATTGTTTGACAATTGTTAAAATTCTATGTATGTGGCACTTTACAGGTGTGTTAAGGAAGGTGTTGTAGTTCTGCCTGAACTCCTCCTTTCTGGATGCTCATGAGACAGATATGTTTGGACCTATATCATGGACCCATTAATTTCTAAGCTCTTGCAGGCCTACGCAAGCTTCAGCCACACTTTCTAGCACTGATCTATTAGACACATTTCCCAATCATAGGCCCCACAGTCCAACTGCCTTGGATCACCAGACCCAATGTAAAATAAAGAGAATCAAGGCATACTGCAAAACACTGCAGTAAGTCAAATGCACACTCTCAAGAGTTTCATTCTTGTTGATATCTCCTTTTATCTAATTTAACTTTTTAAAGTTGTGTGACAATAAAAACAAGTTAGACCCACTAACTTTTTAGAGAACCAATCATTCCTTTCTTCACAAATAGAGCACAAGACATAGATTTAGCAAAATAAGCAGTCAAAAGATTCCCATTCCTCAGACCATGTTCCATTCCACCTCCCAGAGTTTGTTTTTTAAAAAGTCAGTTCTAACCTTGTATTGTTATTCTACACCTCTCATTCCTCCACCTTCAGATAGAGTAAAAATGGTACTCTCCTAGTCTGCAACCATCCCATTGTTCTGAAATCTTCCCATTTGAATGGAAGGCCATGTAAGTTAATGACACTCCAGTGTTGATTATAATGGCTTATTACTTTACACAGAGGCATTCAATATTGCAATTTCATAAAATCAACTAGAATCCATAATTTCATGTGGAGCAAGTTCCTCAAACTGTCATAAAAAGATGTTTTTTCCCTTCAACAGAGGCTATGATACAAACATGAACTGGGACAAAGGAGAAGGTCGACCGTTTGAATATTTTGTTTATGGAGCTGCTTGTTCTGAGGTTGAAATTGACTGTCTAACAGGAGATCGTAAGGTAAGGATAGCACTATTAAGCCTCATAATAGCCCTTTAAAGTAGCAAAGTATTTTTCATCCATTTATATTTATAGAAACTGAGGCGGAGAGAAGTTTAAGTTCCTTGCTAATCTTCATATTAGTCTTGATTCAAAACTAGTATAGAATGCAACTCTTCTGATTCCCATTCTCCCATCTTTATCACTAAACCATGCTTTCTTTTAAAGCAGAGCAAATAGCTTCTTGTTTTGTGAATTTACAATATTGTTCAAAGTATTTATATACATTTAGCATTATAGTATTTGAAATAGCATCCTGCAACGTGTACTCAAAGCTTTGTGTGCTTGCTTTAAGAAAAAAATTAAATTTACATACATTTCACATGTGTTAGTACTGCAGAATGAACAAAACTGTTGGAGTACACACAGGATTGTTCTGGCTCATTCATCATTAATGGAATTACGCTAACTGAAAACTTGATCCTAAAAATGCTTGCTTATGCAGAATTCCAGTGACTTCAGTCAGGCTACTTTCTCGTAACAGTTGAACCAAATTCTGTCTTAAGTTTTATTGATTTTAACACCATTGATTTTTTTACCTTCATAATCTGTTGATAATGATGAGATATTAGACCAGGGCCATATGTGCCATGGACTGCTGCAGCAAGAGCTACACACCACAGAAGCAGCACTAACTAGGACCCTGGGCCCTCCAGGTTGCACATCCCATGTGTACATGTGTATGTACACCCCCTCCCTCCTTACTGTATTATGCATGTGGGTAGGCGCTCTTACCATGTGCATACATAGACACTCCCCCATGCAGTGTGGTACCCTGCCTTACCTTTAGCCAGGTATACAGCAGAAGCCAGAGGAGGGAGGCAGAGCCCAGGGGCCCTGCTGCTACCAGAGGAAGAGGAACAGGGGCAACAGCAGCCATGTGGGAGCCTGGGGGTCTGAATGTTTATCCTTTGCAGGCCTCATATGGCCCATGGGCCACCAGCTGGAGTGGACAGCCCTCTATTAGCTAAAAAGGACCTGACATGACATTCATATTACAGAGTGAATTTGCAGGGCTGGCAATTATTTAAAAAATGATAACTGAGCAATATTGTTTAGGTACCATTAACGTGAGGTAAACTTGAAAATCTGAAGTCTGTCCGGGTTGAATCCTTCGGGCAGACTGCATGGACCCCACCCATTTACCTCTTAACGGTTTCATGCCCTCTTGAACTCTCTCTTCAAGTTCTTTGCAACTTTCCCTTACGGTACTTGCTGTCAGCCTGTTGAGATCCAATAACATTCCATTAGTTCCCTGAAGCTGACGCATGGAATGAAGCATCATCGTAAAACTGGTAATTCTTCTAGTCTTCAAATAGCTGCGCATATATTCCCTAAATGTACAGAAATATGAATCTGCCTGGCAACTGACTCCCCAGCCCAGCCCAGCCGCTGGCTTGTTTACTTTTCATTCCATCCAGGAAGAGCACACACCAACTGCTGAAGCTTCCTTAGCCTGACGAAGGGTTTTTGAACCCGAAAGCTTGCTTAATAACTATTCTCCAACCATTTGGGTTGGTCTAATAAAAGATATCAAATTCACCCAAGGAACCTTGTCTGCCTATATCCTTAGACCAACACGGCTACAACCTAAACCCCTGCAACATGGAAGATATCGAATTTAGCCGTCTGAAATGGAAACTGTACAACTTGAAAAAGAAAGAAGCCAGACTTAACAATAATGAATGCACACCGGAAATCCATCAAAGACAGAAACACTCAATTACCGGTGGGGGCACATTTCTCACAGGAGGGCCTCTCTCTCTCCAATCTCTCAGTCCTGATCCTCAAGGGAAACTTACACAGCACTTCCCAGAGACGAGCCTATGAGCTCCATTTCATCAACCTGCTGGATACTAGAGATCAGGGACTAAACATAGACATTGGATTTTTGATACATTACAATCTGCCTGGCAACTGACTCCCCAGCCCAGCCCCTGGCTTCTTTACTTTTCATTCCATCCAGGAAGAGCACACACCAACTGCTGCAGCTTCCTTAGCCTGATGAAGGGTTTTTGAACCCGAAAGCTTGCTTAATAACTATTCTCCAACCATTTGGGTTGCTCTAATAAAAGATATCAAATTCACCCAAGGAACCTTGTCTGCCTATGTCCTTAGACCAACACAGCTACAACCTAAACCCCAGAAATATGAATGCACTCTCTTACCATGAAACTTATTTACTTAATTCACCATGAAAAAAATCTAATGCAACAAAGTATGAAATCCAATAGAATGTAAGTATCTGAAAGATTACCAAGTTAATAGGGGTGTGTGAAATGGGCTGTATTCAATTCGGATTCAGATTTGGCCTGAACTAGGGGTAGTGATTCGATTTATTGATTCGGATCCCTGTTCCTGATTTGATTTGGCCGAATCCGAATTTGAAGATTTGATGCTGATTTGGAGAATCAGTGGTTCAGCCATAGACACAGCTTTAAATGTTTTTTCTACATACCTCGAGGTACCATGGGGGCTCGTGAACACTGCAGTGCTGGGGCGGATGGAGCGTCCTACAGGAGCGCGGGGGGCCCCCCCGCATGCTCAACAACAAACCCAGAAGTGGACTGGAAATACTTTTGGTCCACTTCTGGGTCTGCCGGGGAGCATGCTGTGGGGAGGTCCTCACGCCCCTTAGCTCAGTGATCAGCAGTGGGTGAACCCTGGGTGCCCCCTCAGACCTAGGAGGCACCAGTTGCCGAGCCGGGGTGGGTGCAGGGGGGAGCCCCCAGTGTGCTCCCCGGTGGACCCAGAAGTGGACCAAAAGTGCTTCTGGTCTACTTCTGGATCTGCTGCCAAGCACACTGGGGACCCTCCCGCGCTCCTGTGGGATGCTCCATCTGGCCTACCATTGCAGCATTCACAAGCCACCTGATACTTTGAGGTATGTAGAAAAAACATTTAAAACTGTGTCTATATCTGAATCGCCAAATCTTTCTGAATCTTTCCGAATAGATTCGGAGGGCTCTGATTCAATTTGGAGAGATTAAAGGGTTGCCTGATTTGATTCGGATTCAGAGATTCAGCCACCGAATTGGGCCGAATCTCCATTGAATCAAATCAAGGATGAGCTTTGCACAGCCCTACAAATTAATCCTCTTCCTCTACAACAACTACATCTTCTGTTACCTACATCTCATTATGTGTTTTAGGAAAAGGGTAAAATATTTGTACCAATAAAAATGTTAATTTTTTGTCACCTCTTTCGTTTATCTGATTATCTTTCTCAATAATTCCTTTTATTTTTTAGAACATCAGAACAGATATAATTATGGATGTTGGTTGCAGTCTAAATCCAGCTGTAGATATAGGACAGGTATGTATCAAACACATAGTTTGGCAGTATAATTGAAATTTGATCTATGAAGCATAAGGCCTCCCTCCTAGATGTTGCTGCTGTTCCTTCTCCCCCTCTTGCTCTTCATAAATGTTTTTGTTCAAATTTCATCCTGTACTTCACTCTTCCTCTATCTGTAGTTTCACCTTTGAGCACTCATAAATTTCAGTTTAAAAAATGCAAAATACTTTTTAAGCAGTTTCTGGTTTGGAGGTTCAAAATAAATTTAAAAAACCCTTATTTTCTAATACACTGTGCTTTTTATTTAATGCTTTTTTATATAACTTATTCAAGTTGATATCCAAAACAACATTTACGACATCATAAGGTTATGAATATATTATAATTAAAAACAAGGTGCCAGCTCTTCAATATTGAAACAAAAATCACCCAGATAACTCTGTTGTATGATTAACTACATATAATTACCCTCAGATTGAAGGTGCCTTTGTTCAAGGCCTTGGGCTTTATACAATGGAAGAATTAAAGTACTCCCCTGAAGGAGTGCTTTATACTCGGGGCCCAGATCAGTATAAAATTCCTGCAGTCTGTGATATCCCAGAACAATTCAGTGTGTCCTTGCTTTCGTCTTCTCAAAACCCCAATGCAATCTACTCTTCCAAGGTAAGCATAAGAATTTATGAATAGTAGTTATTATGTAGAATAAATTGTTCAATAGTAATACAGAGCTTCTTTTATAAGATTTATAATGTGTTCTAGAAAGGATTTTTACTTAACCAGTGATTTTTCTTTAGATTATATTGTATTATACTTTGCTTAGCTAAAAGAAAAGCTCTCTTTATAATTGTATCCCATTTTTATATACTAATTTTAAATGCATTAACTGTTTAGGTAAATATGAACATACTTTCGACTTCTATTCATTTTATTTTTTACTTTTCAAACAAGGTTGGATATACTAATCAGCTATATCGTTGACCTATTGAAACTTCAAATTTTGGTTAAAGAGAACCTTTGTTTTAAGTAGCTTCGTACATATTCAGGCTTCTGGCTTCTCTGGCCTGACATGCACATATATATATACAATCCATTATTTCCCCCCTGGCTTGTGATTTGACATTATAGTTGCACTAGGCCTACATATATTTTTCTAGTCTAACTCTGCTTCTAAAATAAGTTAATCATTTTATTTCCTTTTTAGGCTGTTGGTGAGCCCGCTCTGTTCCTGGGGTGCTCAGTGTTTTTTGCTATAAAGGATGCTGTGGCTGCAGCACGGCAGGAAAGAGGGATAGCTGGAACCTTCACATTTCATAGCCCATCAACTGCTGAACGGATTCGAATGGCATGTGTTGACCAGTTTACTAAAATGGTATAGGATTATTTCTTTTGGAAATGTTCCTACATTCACTATCTTTCATTCTTTTTGGGTGTTTTCCAGTTTTATAATGTCAAATTCCATTATTAGTTCAGACTGATTTAAGACTTGTCTGAAGCCTTTTTCATAGCAATCCTCCTGCTAGAGTATTTAAGAATACATAGCTGCTGCCTTTGATATACAATTCTGCTGTGACAAGTGACTAAGAAGACTCTATATTACTCAAAAGATCTGCTTGTTTTGTGTACTCAGTCATAACTACTCACACAGATTCAACTGAAGTCATTTCCTTTTTATGCATCTGCAGAATAATAATTTAAGATACAATCAGTTACACTCTGGGGAAAAAAATAAATGTAATGTACAGTTGCTGAGCACATAATCTAAATATACTACCGTTACCCAAATGTAAATCCAGGTGGCATCTAACCTACAGATCATTGGTTCTGAAGGCGGAAGGAATCTGGGTACCTATGCTGTAGCACCCTGGTCGAGAACTACTGGTGTATTTGCATGACTGATAATACAATACCTTAGACTCAAGTTTGTAATGCCATCCATATGGCACCATACATGAACATTTTGATTATGACATTCATAATAAATTTCTTTTCTATTCTCTTACTCTCTTCTAGTACTGAAGGTGCATTTTAGAACGGGGAATACATATACAATGTGTTAACATAATAGGATTTCTTGTTCTTCCTTCTAGATTCCATGGGATGAACCTGAATCCTATGTTCCCTGGGCTGTTCCTGTAGACCAGTCATTGCTGTCCCAGCAGATACCACAAGAACAGGAAAGATTCCAATATGCAATGGACCCCCAAACTGACTTGAAAAGAGTTCTCAGTGCTGCTACACCACCAAATACCCTGATTATATTTCCAGAAGGACAAGAAAGGAGCTCATTAAAACAAGGTGCCCCTGTCTGTCAGAGAGATGCTTCTTTACTCTGCTTTTAAGCAGAGGTGTAGAAGGTTTGACTGAATAAATACATTTCTTCTGCCCCTTACTTATTTAAACCACAGACAGCTGTTCTGTTGCCTCGTTGTAACAGGTCAGGGTCTACTTTATTCTTGTCTAAATGATGGGCATTTTTTGATGGGCAACCTTCAGGAACTAATGGATCTAGTTTAACAGGAGAACTCTCTTAGGAGGTAATGCTATGCAGCACTTAAATCATTGTTTCCCGATAGCCCACCAGTCCTTTTATCCACATCTGTTAATGCACTGGAACCTAGATGCTTCTTTCTCCTGTCAGCCTGGCAGATAACCTTATTTTACAAATGGGTCATGATGATAGATGAAGCACTAGGGAAGGAATTTGGAGGAAATAGATATTGGTGAAAGACATTTTTTTAATCAGATGTTTTGCTGTATAGAGAAGGTTTTAAATTTTAATATCATGGTTATGGTAGGAACCAAGAGGTGGTTACTCCCTAGTCTGCAAAATCTAGACCAGTGGTCTCCAACCTTTTTATAGTGAAGATTGCTTTTTGGCACCCCAGGATCTGCCCCGCCCCCCTGCCTCCTGGACAAGCTGCCTGGTCTCTGACCCCCTCGCCCAGCCCAGCCCGGGGGGCAGGGGGCGTGGCTCAGCCCAGCCACATGCGTCCTGCCACTCCCGCTTGTGGAGCCTCTGACAGACTGAGATCAACTGTCAGAGGCTCCACGATTGACCAGTCGATCAAGATTGCCTAGTTGTTGACCACTGGTCTAGACCAACTGAATTTTTCCAAGTCATCCTCTTGGGAATAACTAAGTATTTCTCTGTCCAATGGTATTATTATCCACTGAACCAAACTCTGTTAGCTGAGTGTTTTTAATCTCAAGATTTTACAGAGTTCATCATGTCTCTTTGATTTTCCCCAACAGATCTTCAGTGGCCAGAAATGGTTTTCACTGGTTTAGTTCAGCACTGAGACTGAGCACTTTCATCTTCAACTTGAAATTCAGGGTAGAATTTTGAGCAAATTCAGAATGCAGATGTTCTCTGTTCATAAGAAAGATATGATGTGAACATATAGCCTGGGCTGTATTGGCTTTCTATAGGTTTTTGAGTGGCAATTCAAGTTGATGGTGGTCTTTATCTCCCTTAATGCCAAATACCTCTGATTCTGTTCTTTGTTCCATAATGGCAGGTTGGGTGGATTGGTGTTCTTGGTCACAAAGTTGGACATCAGGGAGCATGTGATTGGGCATTTTCTATGAAGTCATAGGTTAGATTTTCAAAGGTGAATAGGGGATTTACTCACACTACTGCAAGAATAATGGGTTTTGTGGCAAAAATCACTCTGCTCTATAACCACAGTCTGTGGAACAAGTCCCTGATTACATTCTATAAATGCAGAGTTTGACAGTCTTCAAGACCCATTGCAAAGTACATTTCCAATATCTGGTTTCTCATTATTCATAAGATTTGTTTTTGATAGAATGGGTTGCTTTGTTGCCATACTGAATTCACCATTTTAAATCTTTTTTTTAATAACTCAGGATCAGATATTATAAGTTTATTTACATATGTATAATTATAAATCATATAAATGACAAAACCAAATAGAAGAGCATGTCTTGCTTAAATGACAATAGTCACTTTTGATTCTGAAAATCTCAATTGCTTCTTCATTTTTAGAGCAGGTGTGTCAAACTCTTTTGACCCTGTGGGCAGGGGTGTGTGACATGGGGCCAGCCCATGGGCTGGATGAATGACAGGAGGCCAGACTGAGTCCACAGACCCTTCCCCCATGCGGGATCCAGTGTACATGGCACCTGCTTCAGGATTGTGCCATATGCAGCACCCTTGCTTGGTTGGCAATCCCTTGATTTTAGGATGATCTCTACCACGGCCCATCAATGGGCCTTGACGTGTCTAAGGAGTCCAATCCTCTGGCCACAGACCTGTCCACAGAAGTTGCAGGTCTTTCTGCAGGGGACGGTAGTCTGCAGGCTGGTATTCTTCTCCTTTTCCTTCCTCCATTCTCGCTTCTCTGCTTTGAGGGCAAGATACTTTACCTAGAAACACGCTGCTGCTTTGCTGAGGTTGTGGCACCACTGGGGGCAGATGCAGGGCCAGTTTGGGATGCACGCTGCACACAACAACTACTCCAGGTGGTCCAGGACCCATGCTGCATGTGGTGACCAGCTTGGACTAGCTGGGGCAGGTGCTGCAGGTCCTAGACTGACTTGAGCAGGGCCCAGGGTGCCACACATCCCAAACTAGCCAGGGAAGGCACTATGTGCAGCGCATGTCCTGGGCCCTGTGCATGGGGCTGTTGTGGTGCATGCCATGAGTGGGTCAGCTTCAAGACCCGGGATGATGGGGCTTTATGGGCTAGATCTCCTACACCTCTGTTTTAGAAGGGTGATAAATGCTTAGAACTATAGTAATGGGAGCAACAGAAGCAGCAAAATGGATCAAGGCCCCAGTCCTGCAAGCCGATCCATGCAACCAGGCATGGATCTATACCAGGGGTGTCCAACCTTTTTGAATGTGGGGCTGGATCATGAACTTTTTATCACACAGTGGGCCAGCGAGCCATATTCAAAGACCTCACAGGAAGTGGTATCACATCAGGAAGTGATGTCATGTGACCTTTGACACCAATGAAGCTGCAGGAAGTGACAATGAAATGGGTCTGGAAATGTGATTTAAAATCCAAAATAAAAACAATATAAAAGCAAGAATGAAATAATACCAAACACTTGACTAAAATAAACACTTTCGCTTCTATTCACTTCTCAATGAATGAAAGAAGCATAATGCAAGTCAACAGATCAAATGTGGAAAATATATCAGCCAGAGTGGAAACTAATCAAAGCAACAAAATATGGGCATTTTTGAGAATAATCTTCAAGAAGATTTACTTTTATTGAATTGATAACTTGTTAGTAACACATCTGCTGCACAGTGTAAAAACAATGTGTACAAGTCTACTCTTATTAACTTTCTGAAAACTACAATGAACACTGATTTCTTTAGTGTGATACCTGGCATTGTTTTTGCTTGCACAAGTTATCAGTATCCTCTGGCACACTTGATGTGGAGATGCGGAGTATTCCAGATAAATATCCATCTGGGAAGCATGGTACTTTTGTCACTGGAGCAAGGGCTGTGGGCTGGGGTGGGGGCTGGGGCTGGAGTCCTGGCCCAGCTGGGTATGCTGCATGTGCTCTGTCTGCCCTGCTCTGACTCATGGCTCTGGCCCCATTCTGGCACCTGCTGCTGCGTCCCGGCTGTGTGCTGCTGGGCTAAGGCAAAGTCAGCCACATTGCAGCCCCATGTGAAGAACCCAGTCTGGCCTGGTCACATCCTGCCCTAAGCAGAGAGGGGAGTGTGAGGCTGGGGCTGGCTGCCCCTGCTCAGCCAGGGACTCATGGCCAGGATGCAGCTGCAGTGGTGAGGATGGGGACAGGGACAGGGCCAGAGGTGTGAGTCAGACAGAACCCATGCAGATACCCCAGTCTGGCCAGTGCCCCAGTCTGCAGCCCTGGCTGTGGTGAGAAAGGCACTGTACTCCTGACAGCTGTTCTGGCTCTGCTTACTGCCACACACTTCAGCGTGTGTGCATGTGTGCCCTCCCTTTTAGCTCTCCATCCTCAATGTCCTGGTCTGAGGAACAAATGCAGCCTCTGGGCCGGGCTCCTCCTGCCTCCCGCCCAGCCTGGCTCCGGCAACTGCGCGCCCCGTAGCCCCGGCTTGGCCCTGAGGCGGCCCCAGCTCCGCGTGGGAACTTACCTCGTGCCTCAGTCCACCACACATCCAGGCAGGGTGCAGGCCATGCTGCAGCTCCCTCGGCCATGCGCCAGATAAGATGCTGCACTTGCTGTCCCCACCTCATCTAATCAGGCACGGCTGGGGCAGTGGTGGCAGGACCCGGCTCACTGATGAGCCCAGCCCTGCAGGGGTAAGCAGCTCCCCTCCCCTCGCTGCCGGCTGGGGCCCGTGGGTCAGCCCTGCCCGCCTTGCCTCGCCGCTGCTCTGTGCTCCATGGTGGCAGCGGCAGTGGTTCCGCGCTCCACAGCAGCACCACCACTGCCTCGGGCCAGATAAAATAGCTTGGCAGCGTGGGCCTTATGTTGGACAAGCTTGATCTATACCAATGTGTAGCCTTACATTGTAGCATTATACAAGCCTTAGTTATGTCAATCAGTTTTTCAGGACTAGGACCAGCATTTCCAAATTATTTTAAGAAAATCCTTTTACCTGACATTTTAATGAACACGGCTCTCTTTCATTTTACATATTTTCTCTCTGTGTCTGATCGTAGATAAATGAAAACTACTATTACAGGGAACAGAAGCATTACTGAGTGATAGGTCTAGAGAATAAATACTACAAAAGATTTTTGATCTGGTGCTTCATAATTACATTCAGGTAGTGCAGTTTACAGGAACAAGTTCAGGGGATTAGGGAACATTTCACTTCTTAGTATAACAGTGCACTAATCCAATGAAACGTACAGAAATACAAAAATTAATGGATATGACCTCTTACCTAAGTGTTAATGTAATGACCATAGTCTTGTTTTTATTCATATACTGATGAGTCTGTTCTGAATTTTAGTAAATTTGAATACATCTGTATAACAATACTTGTCCATTTGATCAATAAAATAAGTACATTGCATAACATCCCCTAGTGTGTTGCATTTGCCATGTTGTCCTCTTCAAACCTGCTACCTGGCAAGTAGAAAGACCCATGGGGCTGTGGTAAGGCCTCTTTCTGATGTGGCAACCTGCTGTATTTTGCTGGCATGAGCGTTATTATCACCAGGTGCTCTGACTTAACAGAAATGTGATCTAGTTAAAACATTAGAATCCTGTTGCCCTTTGTCTTTTTATTTCCTGGGTACCTTTGTCTTTCCTCTTTCCCACTAGGAACAAAATGTGCATGTTCTCTTATTTCACATCCAGACCTGACCCCCAAACCTGCTGCCTCTTGTTTTCAGGTGCACGTTGTGAAGTAATAAACCCACTGGCCCCAGCACTAGGTGTCAGCTGTAAACCCGAGCTCTGACTCCTGTTGTACAAGGACTTTCCTTGCATCGTGATTGACTTATTACAGCTTGTTGTGCGACTCCCACAGCCCTTGTTGGTGTCCTGCCACTTCTCCCGCCCGGCAGGCAGGGACACCCTACATCTACCGTGCACGAAGGACCTGTTGCTGATTTGTCCTCTTGACTAAGCAGAGGAGCAAGGTATCACTGTGTGCCCGGGACAGCCCTGGTGCCGAGACAACACCGCCCTATACGCTGCCTCCCCTGTGTCTTCTCAGCGCCGGCGGCCCCTGTTGCACGGGGCGGGGCCTCCGCACGTCAGCACCCTACCCCCCCTGGCGTCAGGCGGGGCCCAGTCGCTCTATCAAGGCCGCTACAGCTGCCGGCCCCGCCCCCACGAATTTGGACTAATCACTTCTGCAGTCGAGTCGTAGCCCCGCCCCTATCCCAGGCACATCCGCCTCTCGCTGTGCCCGCGAGGGGGCGGGCTGCAGTTGAGCGGCTGCGCGGCGCGGCAGTTGCTCCGCCCGCGGGGTCTCCACGACCTTGCTCCGGAGGCGGCGCTGGCGGGAGGGGCTCGGGCAGGGCCGGGGGCGCGGAGGCGCTCAATTCTGTCTTGTGTTGCTCCTGTGTCGCGCTTCACAGGTGGTCGGGCGGACTTGTCCTCGTCCCCGTTCCCGTCGCTGCGGGAACCCATTCCCCTCCCCGCGGCCTGAGCTCCTGGATCCTGCTGGGGTCTCCTCACCCAAACGACCCGCTCCGCTCCCCTCTGCCAGGGCATAGCTGGTGCTTGGCCCTGCGCCGGGGCCGGGTTAAGGCAGAGGCAAACGAGGCACATGCTCAGGGCTCTATGTGAAGGAGGGCCCGGTTGTCCTTATTTTGCACGTGACTACTGAGTGGAAAAAAAAGTAGGGGCCTGAGTTTGTCTAGGGCCCGCTAAAGGGTTTATCCGGCCCTGCCCTTCGCACCCTTTTTTCTTGTGGCCCTGCACTTGCCCTTGGCCTGCCTCCTGTGTCCCAGCCCTGCAGGCTGTTTGCAGGTCAAGCTAAAAGCCTTCGCTCAGGGCCATTATATTTCTTACAATGCAGAAAGGACTGACAGTGAAGCCTTGTCCCTAGCACTGCCAGGATGCCAGGAAGGCTAGAGTTCATTTTGTGAATTTGAATTTGATCCCATGCTGCACACCTAACCATGGTGGCAGGGCTAATGTGGCAGGATCTTCTGCCTACTTGGGCAATTTTTGCCTAGTTTCTTGTGTTGTTTAAACATAGCTCATAAATATGTAATCTAGCAAGTTAGAGACCATTCTACCAAAGGTAACGGGTTTTTACTTTGATTTTAAAGGGAATAATACAGCCCTAGGCCCCTAGCATACTGATAAAACTTCTAGTTTAACTAGAGGAAAATGTGTCGCATTGTGATGACACACCACACTACCTGCACCGTTTTCAAAATCCTAGATCCATTGTGGCTGCTTCCAGATGTTAAAAACAACCCCTGCTTTGCTGGAAGAAGCAGCAGGTTACTTCAACCCCACTCTGTAGCCTCTAAAAATTGGGAACTTCAGCAGGGCTTTGGCACTTTTAGCTAAAGCTGATTTGATCAGTTATTAGGTAAAAGCACCAAAAAAGCCTCACTAGGGCACCAGGTCTTTACAGACGTTGGGCGAGCTGGGTGGAAGTAATGTGCTGCCTTGGCATGTGTGGGGCTTGGTGCAGGAACACAACAAGTTTAAAACAGCATTGTTTTTTAAATCTGCAAGCACCCCGTGTGTGAATCTCTCCATTATGAGCCAGCAGCGTTCCCTTGTTAAAGAAGGCTAGCAGTGTAGTGGGCTGCGTTAGTAGGAGTGTTGCCAGCATATCAAGGGATGTGATTATTCCACTCTATTTAGCACTGGTGAGGCCACATCTGGAGTAGTGTGTCCTGTTTTAGGCCCCCCACTACAGGAAAGATGTGGACAAATTGGAGAGGCACCAGCAGAGGGCAATGAAAATGGTGAGGGGGCTGGGGCACATGAAGGGAGGCTGAGGGAAGTGGGCTTATTAAGTCACAGAAGACAAGACCTGGCGAGGGGGCTGGATTTGATAGCAGCCTTCAACTACCTGAAGGGTGGTTCCAAAGAGGATGGAGCTGGACTGTTCTCAGTGGTGGCAGATGACAGAACAAGGAGCAATGGTCTCAAGTTGCAGTAAGGGAAGTTTAGGTTAGATAGAAAAAAACTTTCTCACTAGGAACATAGTGAAGCTGTAGAAAAGGCTACCTGGAGAGGTGGTGGACTAGAGGTTTTAAGACCCAGCTAGACAAAGCCTTGGCTGGGATGTTATAGTTGGGTGTGGTCCTGCTTTGAGCAGGGAGTTGGACTAGATGACTTCCTGAGGTCCTTTTGAACCATAATTTTCTATGATACACAGATGTGTGGTTGGGGCTTTAGGAATACAATTAGAATATGACCTCACATGCTCATCCAAATATAATTTTAGTGTTGCCTCTCTTTTGACTTTAGCAAGAATCTTGTGAAGCAAGCAATCTTGTGATATTTGGTAATACACACAAAAACTCAGCTCCTAGAAGCTGTATAGATATTTGAAGACCTCAGCCTTTTCAAGTAAGATTCGAGCCAACATGGTTTCAGAGATCAGTTCTGAAATATGATCCAGCTCCTCTTCAAAGTCTCAGAAAGTAATAAATATAAAGAACAACAATGTATTTTTAAATCCTGTGATTCTAAGCACATTTCATATTTTGGGATGATGACTCACTTTTGGATGCACAGAGTAGGTAGTAAGACAATTCAAATGCTATTTAGCTGAATGCTGACTTCTAAGAGCTTGGATTAACAGAGCAATAACTGGTTACACTGTGAAGGTTTTGAAGTGAAATTGGCCATTTTATTTGAGTTTTAAATGTAAAGTTTGGGTTATGCAGAATCATAGAAAATTAGGGTTAGGTGGACCTCAAGAGGTCATCTAGTCCAACCACCTGCTCAAAGCAGGACCCACCACAACTAGATCATCCCAGCCAAGGCTTTGTCTAGCCAGGCCTTAAAAACCTTCAAGGATGGGCACTCCACAATCTCTCTGAGTAACCTGTTCCAGTATTTTACTACCCTCCTTGTGAGAGGTTTTCTCAATATCTAAGCTAAATTTCCTTTGCTGCAACTTGAGACCACTGGTTCTTGATCTGTATCTGCCACCACGGAGAACGATCTAGCTCCATGCTCTTTGGAACCACCTTTCAGGTAGGTGAAGGCTGCTGTTAAATTCACTCTTAGTCTTCTCTTCTCCAGATTAAATAAACCCAGTTCCTTCAGCCTCTCCTCAAAAGTCATGTACTCCAGCCCCCTCACCATTTTTGTTGCCCTCTGCTGGACTCTCCATTTTGTCCACCTCCTTTCTGTAGCGGGGGACCCAAAATTGGACACTGTACTCCAGACGTGACCTCGCCAATGCGGAATAGAAGGGAATAATCACTTCCTTCAATCTGCTGGCAACATTTAGAAGATTAGAGGGAATTTTTAAATACCTCAACACTGATCTATTCAGTTTTTCTGTTTACTAATTAAATATTTGTATGACAATGCACATGTTGAAAGCAAGGCAACAACTCAGTATCATTGTAGATACCCTTAAATGGATAGGACTAGCTAGGTTAACTTGGCATTTTTAGCTGAGAACAAGATATCTAACAGAGAAGTTAATTCTCTTAACTCTAAACTAGCCCTAACTGGTGATGTAATTTTTTTTAATAGAATGAAATTATAAATCAATCTTTTGGGCATTCTTGATGACAAATGGGATTGTTCTGACAATGGAGAAACAAGCATCTGCTGAAACATCCTCCAGTTGCGCACTGGGTGCTCTTGGAGGGCATATGAAGGAGGAGAGAACTTTCAAAGCTGCAAAGCTGAATGCTTCTCTTGCATCCAAAATGAAAAGTAAAATAAGAAGTGAGTGCTATTACTTTACAGTGAAATAAATTACAGCATATAATCTGTTTATTCTGTGTACAATTAAAGTAAATAAGACTAGTACGTGCTTAATAAGTGTGATTAGCTAAACTGAGGCCTGAATACAGAAAATGATAATTAATGTAAGAAGTAAAGAATTTTAGAATGGGCTAGGGGGTTAAGACACAAGATTTAAAATGACCATATCTAGATTATTTAATCTATTCTTGTATGTGGCATAGGCCAAACGTTTTGTGACTCAACACTTATGACACTCATACTCTTCCATTGGACCTTCAAATATTGAAGCAGCCAAAGTGGTGGACCTTTTTGAAAACGTTATCCTTACTAATAACTTGGCCACATCTTGCTAGTGATAAATGTAACAAATACTTCATGGAACCAGATAGTGAATATTAAGAGTACCAAGGGTAGCGTTGGAGTGATGTGTTTAACATCTTACAGTAACCGAACAGTGTCTGTGCACTCTATGTGGCATTGGTAGCCTCATTTTACAGGCTTCAGAGCTAAACATACATTTGCTATCGTAGTTCTGAGAGAAAGATAGGGCACCAAGAGAGGTGAGAGGGCACCAAGACAGGCCCTATGAGGAGAGACTAAGGGACCTGAACCTGTTCAGCCTCAGCAAGACGAGGCTGCGGAGGGACCTGGTGGCTGCCTACAAACTCATCAGGGGAGATCAACAGCAAATAGGTAGAGCCCTTGTCTCCCCAGCAACCTGGGGTGATGAGGAACAATGGTAATAAGATGATGGAGAATAGGTTTAGGTTAGAGATCAGAAGGCAATATTTTACAGTTAGGGTGGCCAAAATCTGGAACCAGCTTCCCAGGGAAGTGATCCTCGCCCCTACCTTGGGCATATTCAAGAGGAGGTTGGACAATCACCTGTAGGGGGTCTTGTAAACCCAGCATTCATTCCTGCCTGTGGCAGGGGGTCAGGCTAGATGATCTGTTCAGGTCCCTCCTGACCCTAGCTACTATGATGATAGATACTTGCCTGTCTTCTAAGGCAGAAATGAGGCCTTACTGAATATTTGTGAAGGCCATACTAGGAACACTAGACAGGGAATGAAGTACAACTGGAACTAAAGAAATCCTTTCTCCAACCTAATGTCCCTTATGTTAAGGCAAAGAATATTTTGATAGAGTCCGATCTTTTTTTTCCCATGTCTTGTCTTGTTCTATGTGTAATATAAATGCAATGCAGAAAGCTCAGAGATGACTTGGAATATATGCAGTCTTTGACACATTAAGATCAAGCTCCTAAGAATGCTGTAGCACGTGGGCAAACAGTGACCACTGTGAGTGGACAGACTTTCAGGACAGTGGGAAGCATGTCAGGACTAGAGAATTCTTCCAACTGCCAAATTTTAAATTCCTACCCAAAATGCTTAGGATACTAGAGCTCTTAACATAAAAAGCCCCCAAATACCTACATCATTGGCAAAACTACCTTTATTCTAATTTCCATTGCTATGAGAAACAGCTGCACTGTTTTTTGCTCAAAAAATTCCAAACAGACTAAAAAATTACACATTGAGATTTAACTTAAATCTGAGTGGTTAGTTTTCAAAACAGTGAGCAACTGGAAACAAGTTTGTAATGAATAATGTTAAGCAACTATAGGAAAAGTGTTAGGTGTGCAGCCTGTAATTCATATCGAGACAGTCTGGATTAGAGAGTGTTCAGGGACAGGTAAAAAGTAGAATATTTGTATTATTTTGTCTCCTTCTACAGACTACTCTTCTTTTTTTAAAATATCTTTAAAATACAATAATAAAGCATTGGCTCTGGCTCTGAGTGCAGAGAAGGAAAATTCTCGGAGGCTGAAGAATGAGAAGCTCTTTCTTCAGAAAGAAGTAGAGGAGCTGCAATTTCATAACATTTTGCTTCGTCAAAAACTGAACTGTTTGGTATGCTGTCAAGTAATACGGTTACACTTTAATTGGATCATCTTGACCTTCTGTTCTGTGTCCCACTAACAGCATTCTTACACCTCTCTTAGCATTATAATCCTCCTTTACACTTCTATTTATTAGCAATTTTTATGTTTACTTTTTTCTGATTTGATCATGAAAATGTACTACAGGGTGCCTTTACTTTTGTTTGTTGTTTTTCATAAATCTTCAGTCATTTAAAGACAGTGTCTTTAAAACTTCATCTGTGTCTCTTTATATATGCAGAACAAAACACTCACAGATATAGAAGCTTTTTTGAATAATAATCTCTTAACTGCAATCAAAATAAGCAGCGTTTCTGAGGTAAGTTTCTGTTTTTTAAGCATATTGTAGATAGAAGGGATTACTGCTTAGTTTTTTAGTCAGTATTATAGCTTAAGCACGGATACACTTTCAATAGAACCTGAGAGACTTATGGGGGTAAATTATTTAGGCACTTTTGAAAAATTTGTCCTAAGTATTTACATTTTTTTGTGAAATCCTGGCATTAGTAAAGTTAGTGAAAGGTTTTTTTTACTGACTTCAAAGAACCCGAGATTTTGTCCCTTGTCTTCTGAGACCCTGGTTCTAAACTTACCAACTTGTCTTAATGCAAGTTGTGCAAAGTTGCTGCTGATTAATCAATAGGTGGCAGCCTTCACCAGTGAGCCAGTATTGTTCTAACCTGGCATGGACTGTGCTAGGGGAGTTCACATCTTTCAAATAAAACCTTTTGCTCAGTGGTGCTCAAAATATGGCCTGTGAAGCCAAGTCATCTGGCCCATGGGGGACAGTGCCAATTTTAATTGCAGCTCTGGGGTTGAACCTGGCATGTGGAATAGTCGTGTGCACCAGAAAGGTTGAGTACCCAGAGATGTGGGTTTTCCGGAAGATTTTGAGTCGGAAAATTTTTCAATGCCCTAAATAGAGCGTGATCTCATTCAGCATGTTTATTTGATTTATATTTAGTAAACAAAACTAAAAAAGTACCCCCATGTTAATTTTATGTCCCAATAGCCACAAGTATTTGAACTGAAATATTTGATTAGGAAAAAAATTAAATACAGCACACCTAATACGGTTTAAGTGTTGTATTCAAACAAATGCAAAGCTTTATGCAGAAAGAAATTATTTTTATTTGAATACTTATAAAAACATAGAGACAATACACAAAAGCATGTACTTCCCTTACATGGTTTGTTGAAATTTAAGGAAAAAAACCGAAGGAACTGAAAACTGTTGACACACTAACTTTAGCGCACCCAAAGAACTGTGCATTTAATGCTGTGGTTGTCAACTCATCTTCAACACAGTTTAACTCTCTTCCCCTGAGGTCATTGCGGCACCTCCAGTTTCATTGTTGCTATCTGTAGAATCACTTGCACGACTTATTAGTTCCATTTCAGAATCAGATTGAGGCCAATCTGATTCAGAACTACTTGAGCCACATTCTCTTTTGCTAAAGGAATGTTTTACCAATGAGCCTATGGGCAAGGTCAACTTATCATCACACTGCATCTTTTCACTAATTCTGCTTCTGACTGATTCTCCAGAAGCAAGAGATTTTGAGAATTAGAAACAAGCTTAGTGGTGCATTCATTTTGTTTTGATTTGACCTGCACAGTCGATTAGGTGAATTCATAACTTGATTTTTGGTTTGGCTTATAATGTGAGTGTATTTACTCTTCTGCTTATAAATCAATAAAACATATATGTACTCCCTCACACACTTCCTAGGGATAATCACCTGAAAAACATTAATTACAACTTTGAAACTGCCAACCTTGCATAATATTGTATTGGCATCCATTCATTGTTACTAATGAATTTTATGAAACAATGAATTTTTAGAAATGGAAAATTTCCCATGGAAAAATAAAGCACTGGAAAATTTTCCACCCCACATCTCTGTGAGTACCATTGCTCTAGCTGCAAACAAATGTGAGTGTTAGACCCAGTATCATAGCAATATTCCAATTAGTTCCTTAAGTTCTGCTTTCCTACATGTTTAATTTCAATACAATTTTTTTCAAATTTTCTGTTTGAAACTATTGTTCAGCATTCTTCTGCATTCCTATATAGTTTCTGCACTTCAGTAGTGCCTGAAGTAATTTCTGTATATGTACATCTTATAAGCTACTTTAGTATGAAAATAAGTATAAATATAAAAAATATTTAGGTTGGACACAAAATAAATTATACTTCATTGTTGTATTCTTAAACTGTTGTATTCCTTTGATGAAATATTCTTTAGGCTGTGCAGATTTATATATGTGTGCTCACTCACTCTGCATGTGTAATGATGATGAACAGCAGTATATCCTGTACTTCTAACTGGCTAATCTGTTTTTTTGTCAATGAATTAATTTTTCTAGAGAGCATTTCCAATACTGCAGACCTTTGAGCAGCTTCTAAGATAACTAATTCCCTGTTCTTCCTTTTTCTTAGCATCTTCAGAGTCCACTTCCACAACCAGATGGTAAAAACAGCCATGTTGGTGATCCATCCAAGATTTCACATCATTCAGTTAGGTAATATCTAACAAATGGGAGAGGTTAGGGACATGGAATTCAGAAGCTTTTATAGATCTAACTACAGCATATTATTCTGTAAAGAATCATTTAAAAATAAGCAGGAAAACTTTTATGTTTAGTTTGATAAAGAATTATATGAGACACATAAAACTATTAGCAAAATATGTACCATATTTACTTGAATATAAAACAAGTTTTTCCCTCAGGTAGTATAGGGATGGAGGGGAGCCTCTTGTCTTAGATTTACATACAAAGCAGATGGGGAGGGAGCAGTACTGCAGCTCTGATTCTGACCCTGAGCCTGGGTTGGGGCCAGAGTCAAACCCACAGTAGCTTCCTGCTCCCCCCTCTGTTTGCCCTCTGTAGTTTCTGCCACCTGCCCTGTCTTTAGGGTTACCATATGTCCGGGTTTTCCTGGACATGTCCTCTTTTTTGGACCCCTGTGCTGCGTTTGGGTGGGTTTTTAAAATAAGAGCAAATGTCTGGGTTTTCTGCTCTCCCAGACTGGCTGCTTGGGGCTGGGAGCAGTGGGCAAGGTAATTGGCTATTGGGGGTCATGTGCTCCCTGTGCGGGCTCTGGCAAGCCAGAGAGAGAGGAGAGAGAGAGAGAATGAGTGAACAAGTGCCACTGTGGGAGCTGTGTCAGTAGCAGGGCTGGGGTGGGGCAGGGGTCTGCGGGTCGGGAGTGAGGGGCACTGGCAGGTCTGGGGGGCCGGGCAGGGGGCTGCAGGTTGGGAGTAAGGGGCACCGGCAGGTCTTGGAGGGGGACAGGGAGCTGTGGATCAGGAGTGAGGATCATGGAGGATGGGACAGGTGACTGTGGGTTGGGTATGCAGGGCACTGGCAGTGCCAGGGGGCTGCAGGTCAGGAGTGAGGGGCACCAACAAGGGGTGGGGGGGCAGGGTGCTGCTGTTTAGAAGTGAGGGGCATTGGCAAGGCTGGATTCGGTGGGTACAGAGTGAGGGGCAGCAGCAGGGCAGGGGGGTGGCTTGTCAGAGAGGGGCAAGCAAATGGGCAGGGGCAGGGCACCAGCATGTCAGTGCTCAGCCCCCCCATATTCCCCCTGCCCCTCTCCCCCACTCTGACAGGTGTCCTCTTTTTTGGACGTGGAAATACAGTAACCTTACCTATCTTACTATCATACGCAGTTCGGCTCTGGCTCAGGCTAGATTTTCTCCCAGGTGTGGAATACAGGGAAACTCTGCCACCTGTCCAGCCAGTCAGCAGTGCTGCTGCATGCCTTGGCAACAGCTACACTTCCACATGCTGTGCTCTGTGACTTAGCAGGGAACAGCCCAAGCAGCATCTGGCAGTAACTGGGGAATGAAGGAAGGGGCAGAAATCACAGGGAGTGGAGAGGAGGGGACAGATTATGGGGAGTCTGGGTAGGGAGATGCAGGTGCGGGGCAGAAAGGCTGCAGTGGGAAGATGTGCAGGAGCAGGGGGCAAGGGAGCTGTCTGACTCACCCCTACCTCTCCCTGTAGCCACAGCTTTCCCTGCTGTAGCAATGGTGGGGGAGTGAGGGGGAATTTAAGATACCTTTCCAATAATTAGATTCTACACTGGAAAATAATAACACGTTAATAAATTTTCCACATATAGAATTTAATTGGTGGGGGGTAGTCTTAAATTCAGGGTCATTTTAGATTAGAGTAAATACAGTAGGCAGCCAAACTACAGCCTGAGTGGATTTGCTCCTTTCTCTTGTTTGACTTTTTTTCAGCATGCAGCAGAAATTATAGCAGAGGTGGGCAAACTACAATCTGGGGGCTGGATTTAGCCCATCAATTGATTGCATCTGGCCTATGGTTGCCCCTGTGGCACTCAGAATGCTGCTAAGTCCTGCCCATCCCCACCCAGGGCAGCCCATGCTGCACTCCCACCCACACCTGCTCTGGACCTGCCAACAGGACTGCCTCAGCACTGGCCCTAGGCAACGCGCACAATTTCCCAGTGCAATGAGCAGCCACCTGTGGGCAGCTGAGTGGGTGAAAGGCAGTCAGGAGCTGGAGCGGGAGCTACAGCTCCATGCACTGGGGCAGGAGCTACCCAGCTGCAGCTTCCCCCCTGCTTGTCTGGGCACATGGTGTTGCCACCTCTCTGTGCTACCTGCTGCCCAAAATGGTGCAGGAGGAGGAGTCACTGGAGGCAGTGAGAGCTGAGCAGTATCTGAATGGTTGCAGCAGCAGTGGGAGTAGCCCCATCAGGAAGCTGTGAGCACTGGCAGTGCCATTGGTGGGAGTGGGCAGGGCTTGGCCTCATGTGGAGCGCTGGGGGGCAGCTGTGGGCTACATGAGGGGTGGGGGGTGGGCTACACCTGTAGTACACTGCCTGGGTGAGCTCTGCTGCCTCCTACCCTGCCCCCACACCTCCAGCCAGTTCCTGGGACCTAGCATGTGGACAGCCCCCTCCACACACGCACATTCCCTGTCCCACCCCCCCGCAACACACACACACACACACACACACACACACACACAATATAAAAATAAGACTTTATTTTGAGCTATTATGCAATTGCCACTGTATACACTACTCCAAAAAATCAGTCAGGACAGAAAATATTTTTTGAAATAAAATTAAAATATGTTACAGTAGATGTTTGATTTTTAGTATATGAGGGGGTTTTTTTATATATGATTTGTTAAAGTTGTATCTTCTGAAAGATTTTGTGTGTGTGGCCCTTGCTAGTTCACCAAAACTTGTTAAATTGTCTGCCAGCTGAAATAATTGACCACCCCTGGATTATAATGTCGGATCTTTGAAAACTCTTGGCGCTCTGGTGTAGTGCCCGAAGACTGGAAGAAGGCCAATGTGCTGCCTATCTTCAAGAAAGGGAGGAAAGTGGATCCGGCTAACTATAGGCCCATCAGCCTGACTTCTATCCCAGGGAAGATCTTAGAAAAGTTTATTAAAGAGGCCATCCTTAATGGACTGGCCGATGCCAACATCTTAAGGGATAGCCAGCACGGGTTTGTTGCGGGTAGGTCTTGCTTGACCAATCTCATTTCCTTCTACGACCAGGTGACCTATCACCTGGACAAGGGAGAAGAGATTGATACCATATATCTTGACTCCAAAAAAGCCTTCGATCTGGT